ATTTATCTCCATTGTCTTCTAACAGCCTTTTATATTTTTCTGAAAAGTTGCAATTATGCATTCTGTTTTCTGGACCACACTGTGTTTTCTACAGCCTTCCCTCATAAGTCTTTGTTTCTTTATCTATTATTACTCTTGTTCTTCTTTATACTTTTTGCCTATATTTCTCTTTAAATAGGCCTAGAATTTGACAGATATGCACTAGCAGTGGTCTTAAGAGAATATTCATCTTGTACATGTCTTGGCCAGCAATCTGGCTGACACATACTGTTACATTCTGATCCATTTCACTGCTGGTGTCAGTCCCTTTGACGTACCAGGAAAATATGTATTTTCTGGATTTGATTTCATGCTCCATTGTATTGCACCTAGCACTTCTTTTGACTGAATTTAGTAATTTTTATTTTAAATGCTGTCTCCAGTGCATCACGGTATTTTTTACTTCAGGGCCTTTCTTCCAGGGAGCTTAAACAAAGCCCTCCCCAAGTTGGTGTAACTTGCAAGCATTGTAAGCATATTTTATTCTGTGTAACTTTGTATCAGGTCTAGAAATTCCTTCTGAAGCCTTTTAGTTTTAGTTTGTTTCCAGCAGTGAGTAAAAATTGTAGCTCCCTTGTGACTATTCATGGATCTGTATAAAACAAGCAGATGATCTCAAACAAATAAATGGCAATCACATTTACGACAGATAAGTGCTCCTCTTACAGCAGTTGCTGTTCAGTTTGGGAATGTATCAGGCACCCTTATAAGCTCTGGGGGAGGGCTATGAGCACATGTAAGGGGGCTGTAGCTGAAATGCTGCCTGCTGCAGGACCTGAGGTGCCTTGTCTGTATAGTGTCAGGAAATTTTCACTGTCTGGACAGGTTGGCTTTAGCCAATTATTTTCCATATTTAAAACATTTTGATGTTTTTGCCAAGATCATAATTGTTTTCTCTTGGCAAGCAGTCTAGGAACACCATTAGAATTAAAAGAATAACTAGAAAGTTTTGGGGGCTTTTCTAACAAAACTGTGTTTGAGAAGTTTACAATATAAAAGTAAGTTGAGTTTTTACTGGTGTTTGTACACACTTTGAAGGATTGCGAGAAGGGTCAGGGAGAAAGTCGCTTAAATTTGTCCTTCCCCTACAAGTTTTTCAGGGCTTTGTGTACAGAGAGACTGTGTAGTCCGGCATTTTGATTTAGGTAACACGGTCTGCATGACCAGTAGAGGGAGCCCAGAATCACAAAATATTGGAGATACCTCTGACTGGGAGACTTGGGGTGAGAAGCTTGCATGGAAATTTTGTGATTGTATTTAAAAGGTTATGTTTATTACTACCAATTTAGAGTGATTCTGGAGAGTAACATTTATGAAATATTAAAATGTTTTATGTCTTTTAAGTGATCAAATTGTATGAACAACTTTTATATTGGAAGGCTAATCAGTAATTCTTTCTCTTTCCTTTGTTGCTGGTTGCTGTGACTTCATATCAACTTTACAGAAAGTAAGTAACTTTTATTTTTTTTTAATCTTTCTGAAAGTGCATAGGTGTGGGTATACTACTTGTAGGTATGTTTATATGTAAATACATATAATAATAAGCATACAAGCAGAAGGTGATCAATCTTAAAGACATACTGCTACAGAGGGTAACTCACATATATAAGTAACTTCTAGAATACCCCAACGATTTAAAACAATCTCACCCCCAAAATTATAAATAATATGAAAGTTCTGCATCCGATAACTGTAAATGATAAACATATTCCTAGCATGTAGACTATGGCAACAAAACTTGCAGCATATTGGTTTAAAAGATGTTATGGCTCTAAAAATTCATAGATATCAAGTTACAAAGTAGAATACTGTTGTATCCAATTTAATTTGTCTGAGTCAAAGTTAAACTGATTTCGAGTGTTTCAAGAACTTGGGCCAAACTGTGCCATTTTTCAGATTCAAAGATACTCAGCCTTATATTTGACAGTCCTTGGCTGCTGTATTAATACATTCCAGCAGCTCTGAGAAGAATGAGTATGTCCTCAGGCTGCAGGAGAATTTAGAAAGCATGCAATAAGTAGTATGGATCCCTCAGAAATTGCTCTATGATTCAGACATCAGTCTGCATCATGGGATCTTTGATTGCTGGCTTTTCTAAGCACAGTCCCGTGGGTTGTGATAGCATGTATTACAAGTCTTTCCAGCATCCCTTGTGGGTAACATTTGGGAATTTTAATGCAGTGTTTTAAGGATTCCTGTGTTGACGGAAGAATAGGCAAATCATTGGTTAACATGGATCAAAATTGCAGTGATAAAGGACACTGTGAAATTTCAGTTTGAGCTGCTAGCTTGAAATAAATCCTGTCCTACAGTGTCCAGATTATTATTTAATTTGCAACTTAAGTATGTGTGGTTTGTTTTGTACCCCTTATAGACATACACAATTCCAATTTTCAAGAAGGGTGGATATAGCTCTTTGCTTGCATGCCATGTTATTTAGGAATTGCAGATATCTGTATGAAATAAACATTACAGTAGTGAAAGTACTTCTTGGCTCAGTAGCTGATATGGATTGCTTTGTAAGTCAGAGAGTAGATTCTATTGTCCACTTGCCAGTTGGCTAGACTTGGAAGATTAAGATATCTGCTGTGAGCACAGTAGTCATCATGAGATATTGCCAAATCTTCTGTTTTGGGTTCATTCATCTTGTATCATTTTCATTGGTTAATGATATCTAAAAATAAGCGTGGAGTCAGAGTATTTGCATCAGTATAGGAAAAGGATGCAAATCTTTAATACATGCACACAGTTTTCTTTCTTGATATATTGAGTTTGTCTTCCATTGCACAGTCAGCAAGTTCTTTCTGTCTTGCAGAGAAAAGTCTTAATCTATGATAATGTTTCGCTGAAAAGATCCAAGACTGAGAGTCAAAATTGCTTCACGTTATGTATATTAACATATGGAAGAAATTACAATACTAGAATTGCTTTATTAAGCACTTTCTGGTTTTGCTTGTCAAACATCAATACAATAAGGAAAATGTGTAAAGAGAAGTATCCCACTTATTCCAAAAGTAGTTAAAGTGATTGTTAAATTCAATTGAATGTTTTAGTATTTTCTGTGCTACTGCTTGCAGTATCATTATATTTTTACCATATTTAGTTTCGTATGTTGTTATAGTATTATATCAAAACCAAATGTGGAATTGGTTTTATTTGCAGGGGGGGAAAAGAAGCAACAAAAACTTGTCAGAATTTTCATATTTCATTATTACATTTAGAATATTCATAAAATCAATATCTGATGTGTTTATCAGCAAGCAGCATTTTTACTTGTACTTTTTGATTTTCAATGTAGTAATGTGATGCATTAAGTGACCAACAGTAAATAAACTGTCTTGGATAGGTCTTCCTGTCCTAAGGACACTTTCAAGTTTAAATTTTACTGAAAGAGCAGTTACCACACTATCCATCTTACCATAATTTTAATACATGTACAATAAAGATTAATTTTGTTGTAACAGGGCCGTGGAAATCAACAGAAAGCGTCATCATATGAAAGATGACAATTTAAGTCCAGTTTTATTCATTTATAAAAAATATGCATTTTTCAACAAAGATTGGATGTTGTGCTATAAAATATCGTAATAAAGAACAGTAATTTCTGATGGACTTTTGAAGCCCTGTTCCTGGTTTATCGTTGAGTATATAATTAATTCTGATATACTTAGCAACACACTTAATTTAATGCACAGGCATTGTTCCACTTAGCCAAGTGGAATGTATTTACGTGGCTAAAGATAAGCGTGCGTGCAGGCAGAGGACCCCAGGGAAGAAGCACAGTTTCAGATTCAGTCCCTGAGTACACTATGTACCTTAGTCAGTAAATGAGGACAGGATCTTATAGTGCATCTATAAATCCTGTACTTTAATTTTTAAATTAAAATCAAATCCATTTATGACTACCTTCTTCCCCACTGTTTCTAAGATCATCTTTTCAGAATAGAGTAAGTGTAGCTAGGGTAGATACATTTGCTTCTTTTTCAGATGCAAGCATGCATATTTTGCAAAGACATATCTGTACAAGTGCTCTTTTTTTTCCTTAATGTGTTGTATTTCTTAAATAGTCCCTTAACATGCACTCCACAGTGATATTACAGTTACTACCTAGAGTATGTCAATCTCTTAATCTCTAAAACCACTCTAATTAGAAAAGATAGTGCTTCATAGAAGGTACAAATGTGCTTGTATTTATGAGTAGTAATGCATGTTGACCATGTTAAGCCAGAAGAAAGCTTAACTATATAACACTTAATTTTAAATGTGGCTCTTTATTATTCTTTTGTTGCCTTTCATCCTATGAGATGCAGCTGCCCTTGAACTTGGTACTGTTTTGATCATTCATGTGCAGCAGCCACATTGTCTGCAAGATTTTAAAAATGAGGCTTCATGGTGTTATTTACAAAGTAATTTCACATAAATATTTGGACTTTGTTTCTCTTAGAATGTGGAGTTGGTTGCTATATGAAGAAAAACATAATTATAATTCACAGACTTTTTGCCTCGAGCCTAAGGGACAGATGCATATGATTAAGTTTGAAACTGGCCTGTTATTGTAATGTAGATGTTTTCAGGGTCGAGAAAAAAAAATTCATGTGCAGCAGCCACATTGTCTGCAAGATTTTAAAAATGAGGCTTCATGGTGTTATTTACAAAGTAATTTCACATAAATATTTGGACTTTGTTTCTCTTAGAATGTGGAGTTGGTTGCTATATGAAGAAAAACATAATTATAATTCACAGACTTTTTGCCTCGAGCCTAAGGGACAGATGCATATGATTAAGTTTGAAACTGGCCTGTTATTGTAATGTAGATGTTTTCAGGGTCGAGAAAAAAAAAAAAAAAAAGGCAAAAAAAAGGCAAAAAAAAGCCAGGCAAGCATGACTTTTTTAAAAAAATGACCAAGGGAGTAGTTTTACAAGAGGCACTCAATCTTGGACTGCACAATTTTATTTTTCAGTGGAACCTCTCCATTAGCTTGCCTGAATGCAATGCTTCATACTAACACTCGTGTAGGTGATGGAACATTCTTCAAAATCCCTGGGAAGTCGGGACTCTACGCTCTCAAAGTAAGTTAAAATTTTGTATATGGAAAGTACATAGTGCTATTAATCCATTTTATGAATGTCTCAATAGATATAAAGGTAAACAGATTAGATTCTTTGGAGAGGAAATGACCTGATAGTCCTTCTAACTGCTTTCAGATGTCTCTTAAAAGGATTTATAATGAAAGTAAGCATTGAATGTTTTATCCTAGAAAGCATATGTATGTTCTTGAATTTGGCATACGGTATAAAAAACATGTAGCTTAGCTAAAATGCTGTTTTTGTCGGAGTTGTTCACAAAAAGGCCTTTGTTTCATGAGCAGTGAGCTCAAGAGGATCACTGACTTTCTTATTAAATAATTGTATTAATGTTTTGGTTTTTAATAGTGCAAAATTATTTGCAAATCTAATATAAATCAGCTTTTAGTTTACAGGTTGCATCATTCCTTTTGAGAAGGAATGTAATTATAGAGATAGAATTTTACCTTTATGCTGTTTCTATTCCTTTTCCTCTTTTTTCTTCTTTTTTGGTATGTATATAATGATTTCTGTGGGTGCAATTTTTTTCTTGCTGTACATGATCAAACTTAGAGGGGCTTCACAACAGGAGTGGAGGAATGTGAGACAGAGGTGAGAAACATGAATGTGAGGTTGTGTTTGGCAGTCTAAATGTAGCCAGTTAAAATTTTGGGCTGGGGGAAAGGATCTTTTGTAATTAATTTGATGTAAAAGCTTTTTAAAAATAGAACTATGTAGAATTGCCTGCTCCCACTATCTAAAAGAAATCTGTATCTGAGGTAGAATTAACAGTTTTCAGAAGCTCCATTTCCTAATTTACTGAAACAAATGCTGGTTGTATTTCTTTAAAACGGGAGATATTCTTGGCACAGATCCAGGTATTCACAATCACTCCTATGCTTGTAAGCTCCAGGTTGCTTCAGCTATCTGAATTCAGGAAACAGGCAAAGGCAGAAAAGAAACATTAAAGGATTTGTGTTTTGCTGCAGCGCTGTGGACACTCAAGTGGAAAACTAGGATTTTTAACAGCAAAACAAGTCTGTTTCTGTAAAAAAAAAAAAGAAAAAAAAGAAAAAAAAGAAAAAAGTGGAAGACCTGGCATTTTATTTGACTTTATTATTATTATTTTTTAAAATAGTATGTTATGACTTCGCAAAATAGTTTGGTTTTGCTTTGCAAGTTGTTTCATGAAGGTTTGTTTTTATGTCTTTCTCTGACATAACTCAAAGCGTATTTAATTTTATTCTGTTTTTTGAAATGTAAGCATGAGAGTACACTGCAGTATTCTATTTTTGGAGATGCAGCAGGATCATTGTTGATTTTTTTCCTGTTAATTTTAGTTTTCTTTTTCTTTTTTAACTAGAAAGAAGAATCAACATGCCCTACTGATGGAACATTGGATTTAGGATGTGATTCTGAGTTAGATGGCACTGAAATGGCTGAGACAAACAATAATAATGGAGAAGGAAATGGTGGTAGGTTTTTTAATTTCAATATTAAAGGGCATATTTTTGGAAAATAAAAAGTACGTTCACTTAAGATTTTCATGGTGTGATTTCTAAACAGTGTAAGTAGTGCTTTGTACTCAGTGGAACTGTTTTGAGTCACTCTCCTTTTCTGGCCTTTCAAAGAGATCAGGAACACCAAGTGCCTTTATTTGACTTCCATTAAAAGACAAAGAGTAAGTAGTTGGGTTGTTGGGTGTTATTTTGAGTAGGTAATTTTTTGGCTTACAATTTTTTTTGTTCTAGGCTCCACAGCTAAAGAGTAATTTGCTTTACTGGGCTTCAGACTTGCAGTTGTTGGATAGACATCTCACTGATTTCAGTGTGGGAGTGTGGGCTTTATCCCTCAGTAGAGTTCTGGGTACAGGACAAAAGTTTGTTGTTTATTTTCAGGTAGAGATTCACTGGAGTGCAGTGTTGATATAAAGACATGTTGAAGTAGCAAATTCTGTACATTTTTTTGTCTCTGAGATCATGACAAAATGAAACATTACATGAACTTGAAATGACAACCTTAGAAATAATTTTTCTTTTTGAGAGGTAATAATTGCTCATCAAGAAAACACAGTTCTTCAGTCATCTACAATTACTTGCAAGTAATAGAAATGAATGTGCTTCTAATTAAAACTACATTAATGTATTGCTTATTAAGTGAACACTTTGTACAAAAAACAACCCTCACAGGACCTTGGAAATAAGGCTTTCCTTGGTTGGTTGTTCTTTTCTGCTGCTCCCTCACAAACTGTCCCTCTGCTGGACTGCAGCCTACTGTCTTGGCTGTCTTTGTATATGAGAGGGTGCCCTGTTTACAACTAGGACATGAAAAAGCCCAGCTCATGTTGTTTTGCTACAGGCTTCCTTTTCGATCTTGAGCAACTTACTTAGCCTCCATGCAGCACCTGTACAGGACTGGTACTGCTATTTCAGTGTTTCTTGCAAGCAGCACTGAAAAATCACAGAAGGCTCAGTGATAGAACAGAACCGCCTAAGACACGTTTTTGTGGTTCTAGTGGTGAGGTTTTGAATCTCATTGGAAAAACAAGAATTATTAACTGGCTCTGCTTCTTCATTTTATTTGATATATTATGTCTGTAAGTTAACAGACTCCGCATATCCATGTGCTTATGTGGTATGTATTGCATGTATAAGTGAATACACATATTTGTAGTTCTTCAACAGTTCTTGTCTGATACTCGGACAGTTTGTTGATGTACACTTCCTTAAGTTGCAGGAAGAATACAACAGTGAAAAGCAGTGTAAATACAGTTACAGGTAGAAAAGTAAAAGTTCTTGTTACTTGCTGTAATCAAACAAAAATCATGGCAAAAACCTGGCAATTATTTAGGAGTGGTAGGATGTAAATAAGGATTCCAGAATGCCAGAAGTAGAAAATTGCTGGGTTTTGACTAGGAGGAGGCTGCATACTATTTTCACAGTTTACAGTAATAAAAATAATTCTAGCACTTACGGTGACATAAAAGAGCAGCTGCTAAAATGAAGCATTTTAAAATATTTGGGGTAGAGAAGTAAATTACACATCGCTTGTTTTTAAAGCTGAGATCTTTCCCTCATAATTTCATCTTTAACAAATCCAGGAAAACTGATTTATTTAATGTTTTGAAAACAAGACACTTTAATTTTTCTATGTCATGCAGTGGATATATTTAAAAACAATAACTATGATGGCAATAGTGAGTATTGGGTAGAGAGAGACTGGTGCTGGATATCATCAATAAGGAATTGAAGATGGCATATCTTGTATCAGTCAGCTGATACAGGACATAGTTTTGTAATGCATGTTTGATAACAGCTTTTCTTCAGACTGAAAGTTCTGTTATTAAACAAATATTGATATATACGTAGAGTTCTCTAAATGATTTAATTTACAGTGTAGAATGCTTGGCTTAGCACCATGTCCAAGAAATGCAACCAGTTTTAAGTGGATTGAAAATTACAAATTACTAGATCTGCAAAGGTATAGGAATGACCATCCAGAGTAGCTCTTTTGCTCTTCTGTTGACGATAGGATTAGACCACTTTTCATTCAATATCTTTGCCAATACATTTTAAAATCCCCTTGATTAAATTAATTGATAATAAATAATAATATTGAGACTCCTCTTTCTTGCCATGTAAATTATTACATTCGATCAACATGATTTATTTTTTTTAAACACTTTAAAGTTAAGGAAAAGGTCATATTTGTGCAGTGGAAACATATTCAATAAATCAGTGATGCTGAAAAGCATTTAAGGATCACAACAGAAAACTGACCATGACTGAGATGCCTTTGCTAATTAGTCCAATGAAGTTCTTGAACTATAATTCTGGTAGTACTGATTAAAGAATATAGGCACAGTGTTTCCTTTGAGTATAGCACTAGTTAAATGATTACTAGTGTATGACATTCATTATAGCTGTAAGAAATAATTAAGAAAAATAGGAAAGGATTTAGAAGAGAATTTTAAGAACCTCTGAGTGAACAAATTTTGCGCTGGGAAATTTAGGAGAGAAAGTCTAGTTAGTTTATGAGAGCTGAGGTGGTGACTTGATTGGTTTGTAAATATTTGAAGTTAGGTATTTCTATAAAAAATATTTGGTGTAACAGACCAAATTTAACAATATCAGTTAAACTTTTCACACTAAAGCTGGGATTTTTTTATCCTTCCAGGAAACTATTCTGTCACATAAAAAATAACATCTGATTCAGTGCAAAAAATATGAGATTCTCTGACTTGTGTTTTAGAAAAGGTCAATAGATAAAATGTCTCTTCCTTTCAGCCTTAGTATGTGTGGTATCTATGAGGATGGACACTGTTTGCACATTGTATTCTTAATTGCCCGACTGATTGCATTTTTATTTGCTATTGTTTCCACTGTGGTAGAGACCAGAAGCCCCAGTTCTGTCAGAGTGATCAGAAATTGTTTAGCAAGGGTTTAAAAAGTGCTGCTTTAAAGTTAGCTGGAAACTGAGGATGAAACCCTAAGCAGCAGCCTCAGTCTGTTTGTGGGCTTTTAGATGGTAGTGCCCAGCTCTCAGAGTAAAAAGAGCCAACTGACACTCAAACAGAGAAGAAATACATTACTCCCCAGCAAGCACATTTTTCCCAGTATAGATGCAGACTACTGAACACTTTTATTAGCATAATAATATGAAAATTCCTCACAGTTCACAAAAGCTGTTACTCCACATCAGTATTGCTAAACTGACAACTAGAATGGCCACACCTCAGGATTTTTCAGACGCTGTGGAGAATTGTTTCTTTCCCCACCTTGTCTAAAGGCATATCTGAAACTTTTCAGACTATAGTTGATTTTGTTTGAGGTGGGGTTTCTGTGGAAGCTCTCTAGCAGTCTCATATCCTTTCATAAATTCAGTTTCCCTCAAATACACGGGCAGCATGAAAAGATGCAGTTGGTAAAAGAATTAAAATCCCAATTACTGTTGCTTAGGAAAATTATTACTGTAATATCTTTTTGCCCATCAATAGGATGCTCTGTTCTCAAAAAGCATTTGTCTCTGGGGTTTCTGAAGGCAGGGCTAATTCATCAGCCCTGGAGTGCTGTTGATTAAAAATTGTTGCAAATCACAATGATGTAACTGTAGAGGTAGCAATTCCTACAGTAGTGTGACTTCCCTCATGCATCCCAACCCAAACATAGGTTCTGATGTTTGCCCAAATATAAGCAATGTGCGACTCCTCTTGAGACAATCTGGTGTTCAGCACTAGCTGAAATTGTAAACTCTTCAATTGCAGATGTGGAAGGGCAGAATTAATTTCTTAGGCAGTTTTCTTAGAGATAGTAGATGAAATGATGGCTGATAGAGGATCGGAGTCAAGCTGTATTCTCAAATTTTGTCTTTGTAGCTACAGTGCTCTTGAATACCATGTGCTTTTTGGACTAGGACACCGCTGTGGTAACTCCTGTAGTGAAGAATGAATATTCACCACTGTTTGAAACCTGAGTCCACATTTCAGTTCCTTTCCAGGAATGAAATTTCTGACAATTCAGGGAAACCTGTTATCCTTAACATCTTTTCTCTTTGGAATAATATTGGATGATTCTGTTGAATATGTCTGTTGCACATGGCAACAGTATCATTTGAGACGGGCTCTTCTAAAGCAGAAGGCTGATAACAGAATAGCTCAAACATACAGATTTTGGATGACATATCAGAAAGAGACAGTTTTACACTTAATTTTAGTTTAGTATGTTGTGTTTTTTCATCTCCACTCAAGTAGCTATAAAATAAAAATACTGTACCCAGGATCAAGTTTAACTTATGTTTCTTTCATTGGCACTGGAGAAGAAGCATAAGAATGAGAGAAGATGATGTGGAGTTTGAAGAACAGATCTTTCTCATCCACTTTTCTTTGCTGTACAGTAGAGTTAATGAGGCCTAGGAAACCAGTGGCTCAGTGACCACAGGCTGTATATTTTTAGTAGAAAATGTTGACTTCCTTTGGAATAAGAATGAACAGTTCTCAAAGCTATATGACGTGTTTGAGCTCAAAAGCATGCTGAGATTATAATGTGATTCAGTGTAAGCTACCAAGCTGATGTGGTACTTGATGTCTTTTTACAAAAAATACTATTGAATATTACTTACCATTTCACATTGCTAGTATTGCTTTTCTAAAGGAACATTATAGTCACAGTAGTACCCTTGATATATGCATCTGGTTTTGCTTGCATTGGCATAGTTGCACAATTAACGAACTCCTGAATTGGTTTTCATTTTCAAGAGCTGATGGCAACAGTCAAGTTCTGAATTGTTCAAATTTTGCCAGTTGGGCTCTGGAGATCAAAGAGTGATGGAGGTGAATTACTGGATACATCTGTGTTGGCAAAGCATGACCATTTATGTCAGTACAAGTATAGATCTGTGTCACCCAAAGAAAATACTGGATTTTATGGACATTTTAGAGAGAAATTTTCTGTGCATGTTTTCCTAAGGGAGTTCTCCATTAATTTTCCTAGCTCCAGAGTGTGTGTATGTATTTTGTGCTTGAAGTAGACTCTAGTCTTTAGCATATGGTAGCAATATTAATTTGTGTTTTGTAATGTGGCCATTAGTAAACAATCCTTCTCATCTGCTGTGGTTTCTGTAACAAAGAAATTAACTGCTGTTGGTATTACTGGTTTGATTTTGAATCAGTATAGTCTGTCTGAAATTGGAATTAATTGTACTATTTATTTTGGTAAAATAAGCCGCTTAAAGCACTCTAGGAATTTTTCTGTCCATCTAGTTACAGAAATCTGTTTATAATTATTCCTGAGAACTTTCAATTGCAGTAAGACAGAATAATTTTAAGTTGTATTCCTATAAAAATAGTTTCTTTGAAGAAAAACATCATCTAATGTCTTACATAGGTGTCCTATTTCTTGGGTGGGGAAGGGAAAAGGTGATTAAAAATTACAGAGATAACCTATAAAATCTGAAATTAAAAGATAGCATTGCTGCACTTTATAGATTATAGCCTTTCATAAGAATTACCAAAACTGGTCTTAGAAAAATGGAAGAGACAAAGTTATTTTAAATGGAGGTTGTTGAAAACATTTTTAACATGCTCTTTTTGTTAACTAATTCGAATTCTATCATTCATGTTAACACTCTCTGAACACTCACTAAGGAGGTCTTATCTTCAGAAACCCAGCTGCTCTTCCAGCTCATAACCTAACAGTTTATGGCTGAATAGTTGGTTTTTGCTTTATTCCTTCAGTCAGTCCTGGCCCTTGAAGAAGCCAATTTAAAGAATGGAGCCTAATTATTCTCCACTAAATGGAAATGCCTCCTGTAGGCTTAAAACTGCTGTTGTTCTCTTTTTCTACTGTAGTAGTAATGGTCAGTCCCCTTTATTTGCTACCCAAATATTTTTCTTTCATCTGTTGCTTTCTTCCAGGGTTCTTGTTCTCTTCCCCAGCACCTACTTTATTTTTAGCATTCTTTTCTGATAATGCTTCTCAAGCCAGCATGGATCTGGTAATATGCATGCATCTTCATTGCTTATGGACAAAGAAGTTGCACCTTTTCAAAGTTGGATGTATGCACAAAGATCACTGTCTCTTCTTGAATTTGTTTGTCTTTTACTGTGTTCTTTTATTTCCATAGCAGAAATGCCTGCTCTATTCTTAAGACTTTTTTTTTTTTTTTTTCATTAGGACCATCAGTGTTCACTTCAAACACATATTTTTCTGTCATATTTTCCCCTTTTTTAACTTCTGACTCATTCAGGAAAAAGAATTGGACTTCAAAAATTAACAAACAAATAAATACAATTTTCTGTGGTCTCAGGCATTCTGGTATAGTGAGATTTTGGCACAGGTTGATTTAAATTATTACGTAGCACAACATGTTTCAAAGAATGCATTTATTAATTGTCTTATGTTTCTATTTCATTTCCTACAGAAAATAAAATTAATATTGGTTTGTAAATGATATATTTTTATCCTCTGAACAAAGCCTGTGTATCAATTTTAGTATTATTTTTTGCTAATAAAGTGAATAGGCTGTGTAACTTATTAAGTAATTACATAAATTAAGATAATGTGTTTAGATTGTTGATGTTCGTATCTTTGTATCTTCTACTTTTTTAAAATAGGCAATGATATTTCTTATTTATTGGATGATTAGGTTTATAGCCATGATTTTGTCAAACTGGGTTTAAATGCAATTTTACTTAAAACATGGAAAACGATATTTAAAATAGCTTCTTACTATTTAAGCTACTGGATATATGCAGATAAATATTCATTATGTACAAAATATATTTTAGAAAGGAAGTATAATTTGTTTTTAATAAATTAAGTTTACTTTCTCCAGTCAACAAATTTATTATAGACTAAAAATTGGTTTTTCAGGACTCTGAAGGAACTAGTTTTGGGTTGCACTAAACGGAACCAGCCTAGAGTGAAGTCCTTCTGTACCTGCAGAAGGGATCACAGTGATGGAAAACTGTTTATTGTTTCAGTGGATTTCAGTTCCAGTTGTTTCACCCACAAGAACAATCCCTGTTCCTTGGTTTAACTTTGTTGTCAAAGCTTTAAGGAAACGGAAGCCAAAAAAGCCAATAGACTGATAATATATTTAAGTAAAATTGAAGTAATGATAGAAATAAGAAGTATGGCTTCTAATAGACACTGTGACAATAGCAGGGTTTACTGTTAAGAGAAAAATAAATGAAAGAACAAGATGGGGATAGAACTGTGTTTATTTTTATTCCTGTACTGTATCATGACTGTGATATTAGCAGATGTAATGTTGAGCATCATCAGTTAATGTTGCCAAACATCTCCAGGATGAACTTTAGCACCAAAATAAACAAGGGAGACTCTTGAATAATGTCCTTAATCAGAATATTGAAAAACAGAATTTGCCATTTTAACAAGAAGGTAATAGGAGTTGCAGTCATCTGAAGAGAAGGAACAGATTTTTTATGACAGGTCATGTTGTATTCTCTCTTAGGAGGGACTGTTTTCATTCTTTAGACTTTTTTTAATTATTTTTATTTCTTCTCCTCTCTTTAACTCTGGGGTTTGTGTGCTCACACTATTTGTTTTTTCTTCAGAGCTTTGACTCTCAGACTTTGTCGGAAAACAGTCAAAAAATGCTCTTTGAAAGAACAGACAAAAGCTGGGTAATTTGAAATGTCAGGTTCTTATTTTGGTTCAGGTGTTCTTTGTCTCAGGAGGTTAGCTATTGCATTATTTGGGTTATAAAAACCAGCTATTGTTTGTTTTCTGATGACACCTTGCTGTTTCTTTAAGTTTTTGATAGTAGGCTTGGCTCATCATGTGGAAAAGATTGGTCCAAACCAGGTGATGCTGTAAACTAAGAACCTGTCTTGTGTTGCAGCTTCTTTAAATATTTTGATAAATTCTTCAAGTATAGGGAGAAAAAGTGACAAATATCAGTTATAAGTCTTGTAACAAAATCAGGTATATCTTATCCGCTAATGAAAGTTTTTCATCTAATATGAAAATTATCTTGACATACTGCTCTTGCCATAACACAGAGTTCATTCTCTGTGAAGTAAGAATTATTTCTTCATTCACTGTGAAAACCAGTTTTATGCAAATTTTAACCAAAACACATGCATCTCATGGTGTCCATTAATTTTTGGTAACTAAATGATTATTAACTAATTTATTTTTTTTTCTGTGAGACACCGCTAAAGGCAAGGGAGTTAGAATGCTACTTCAGGTGTCTGCTCATCACACTGAAGGATGGGAGGAGAAAACTATAAGCAAACAGAAACATAGGGCTGAAATTATTTCTGACATGTCTGTGTGGCTGCTTTGAGTGCCTTCGAGCTGTTCTGGTAGGTGTGCAAGGTATGGTAAGCCTTGGAAAAATATATACAGCTGCACGGAAACCAGCTTCAAGCAGCTCTTGAAGACTGACTTGGAATGAGACAGCAGAGGAGAATGGGAAAAAAGATTCTTACTTTCTGGGTTCATGCTAATGCTGTTTTATCTGGGCTGTGTCAGGACACTAATGAGAGTAATACTAAGGCAAGGCATGAAGAGTGGAAAGCTTTTTACAGCTCTTTTAGTCCAACTTTTTGACTACCATGACTAATAGGATCCTCCAGCTATTTTCACAGCTTTCATATCTGTTTAGTAAGGCTGTTTTTCTAAAACAATTAATCATGTTTCATTTTCTTTTTAACCAGGAGGCTTATTCTGTGTCTCACATGTCATGTATTTTTAAGGTATTTTAATGCAAATACTGTAGTATTGTTCATGAGAACGTGTTTAGAAGGCTGACAAGTAGCAGTGTGTATTACCTGAGAGACCAAAATTCCTCTTTGCAGGATATTCCAATCTCCCCGTTAAACAGGAAAATGTGTGTTCTTTGCTTTACCAAGAAGTACTTATAAAATAGATGAGTCTGACTACTAAGAAGATATTGCAATCTGGCATGAAGTTACATATCTATACATATTTCTGGAACACGAGGTCATCAGTGTCTCTTGTATAAATTCACATTCAGACACATATTAATCCATTAAAAACGTCTTGGTGAGGAAAATAATTTTTTATTAGCTTCTGTGTGAAAACTGTAGTTAAACTATTTTAGTTACCTTTCAGGACCTGAAAGGCAAAATATTCAAGTCCTCCAGAACTGCATAGAAAGGGTCTGATGAGGTACAAATATTTGTGAAGCAATCCATTTATTTAGAATATGGCTGGATTTCCAGCTCCTGTGGAGCTCAGGATTATTCACATTTCTTAAGAGTGAACTTTTTTATTTCTTTTTTTTCTTTATATAAAGTTTGCCCAAAGCAGACATCTGAAGAAATGTCTTCCAGTCGCGATTCAAGCCTTACTAATACACCGGTGCAAAGCAAGCTAGTATCTTCCTTCCAGCAGCACACAAAGAAAGCACTTAAGCAGGTAAGCTTCTATTGACTGGTAATCAGTTGGTTTCCCTGTAGCATTTGTGTCGGTCTTATTCAAGTAAGATCTCAACAGAATTTCAAGGCGTTTCTGAGGATTTTTAGTGCTTTGTTTAGTGGTGTATTGCTGGGGTTTTTCCTTCTTCTTTTTTTTTTTTTTTTTTTTTTTTTTTTTTTTTTTTTTTTACTGATGGTGCAGTCCTGCTATTTGTTGTGAAACTGGTGGTTTTTTAAGTGCTTTTCAACTAAGCAGAATTGTTTCTATTATCACATCCCTGCTTTTCCTATGCAAGCATTTGTGTTGGAAATTTTATGTGAGGCTTAAAATTAAAAAAATATATATATTTGAAAGATACTCTGCAGAGAGAGAGAGGTAAGAATCTAGAAGTATTTGCTGTTGAGTTTTTCTTTATGGTCTGTTAAGTAATTTTTCCTTTATACTGTATTATACAGAGTACAAAAGTGGTGTAGTTTTTATGTTTTGAATAACTCATTATTTGGATGATTTAGGTTGCATGATTTCAAAGCTTGGCAACACAGACTGGGTATTGAAAGTCAGATATGAACTGAAAGCATAACAATATGAAAATTATTTTCCAACAGTGCCAAATTAGTTCAGCTTACAGCTGGGTGAATGAAAAAGAAACACTAAAAACTTACCATTATCTCCTCTCAATTTCAAGTATGTAAGAATTCTTACAGTCTTGTAAAAACCTTAAAACAGAAATACCGCATTTCTAAGGTGTTAGCTTACTGAGACAACGTTGCTTTAATTTTTTCTTATAACTGCTCTCTTAAGTATGGTTAATGGAAGTCTAGTATTTAATGGGGTGCTTTTTTGCAGAGTTGTTGATTTAGGCTTAAGTTAAGCAAAGCCTATCCACAATCACCTTCTCAAACCACATATTTGTGCTTAGTTTTTCATGCTGCTTGAGTTAAAATCCACTACAATTAATAGACCTTTATAATTTACATAGATTTACCTTGTACATACAGGCTGTGAGGACTGGAAAGGGTTGTTAGATTGGGGATTCACATCTGTTTGGTCAGGAAAATTGAGCAGTGGGCACAATGCAGCTCACTAACTGTGGATAGTTGGTGAAAAAGACACACTCTTTGGAAATTTCTATCAGGATCTTTTGCAATGCATGAACTTTCTTAGGGGTGAACAGAGTGGGCAGAGGGAAAAAAGGGGGAAAAAAGAGTGAAGCCACAAATGTTTTAACTTGTATAGCTATTCAGACTCCACTATTTGACAGTTAGTAAGTGTATAGCATTGAGAGTAATTTTTAAAAGGGCAAACCAATCAGAATAGCTTAATTAATATAAAAAATTATAGCATTGATAGAAATACTTGAAAACATTCCCTAAGGCAGTAAGGTAAAGCAGCATCAGAAAGTTAAGTAATCAATAAAAAGAAATCAGTTTTAAGTTGATGATCATTTGACCCTGTACTTTGGAGTATGAGAGTAATAGTGTTACACCTATGAGTAAAATGTTTTCTTTAGATTCAGAGTTAGACAAATGGACATTTGTATTGTGCAATAGTAGAGGATTTTTGCTTTGTTTTCTGGAAAGTTGGCTACTGCTATATGCACTCTACAAATTTGATTTAATTTGATATTGTAGTAGAGATGGAAAAACTTCAACAGTGATTTTATTTATAAAATTGCTGTTGGAAATTTATTCTTCCACTTTCCAATCTTTCTGTTACTTTTATGGATATGTAATACCTGAAATTTGTACAAAGAAGAATGTGTAGTACCTTTTAAACAGTTTTATGCACTGCTTCTCCAACTAATACTGACTTACATGCTAAAGTAACAGAAGATAAGCCATCTATTGTGCTCTCAGAAAGTGCTTATACTATAATAAACATAGATATACTACATAGATGTTGTAATGGGGTCTGCCCTAGCTATTGCTTTTTTTCTATTACTAAATGGCCTTCACAGAATGAGAACATGCAAGATAGTCTTTCAAACAGTTTCCTACTCAACTGATTTAAAAACAGTGGCTTCTTCACATTCACTTGGTCTTGTTTCTATTTGTTTTGTGATCCATTACAATTAAAAGTGAGAGGAAAGTTGATAATGTGCTGTACTGCTTGAAGATCTGAGCTAGAATTAGAAGATTTTCTCCACCATTTTTAACAACTCTGGTCATATTTAATTCTCCTTGGTATTATATGCTGGATTTACATATGATTTGATTTTTATGAATTATAGAGGTATATTCCTGGGTTTAGATTGCAAAGAGCAATATCACATTTTCTTTTAACAGCTTGCATTTTAGGATGTTCTCATGACTCAAATTAGTCACAACACTGCATTTCTTGAGCTATGCTCAGAGCTCAAAGGAAAGGGCATTTTCTGAGCCCTGACTCTTGGTCTTGACTTCTCTCAGGTAGCAGTGGATTCACATTACTTTGCAGCGGCTAGGAAGGTTTGCAGTTGCAGTGGACTCTCACAAGGTCTGTGTCACAGTTCAGACCTTATCTCCTCACCTTTCAAAGGCTGGGCTGCCATTTTGGTCTGGAAACTTTCTAACTTCACTGCTTTCCATAGTGTCCTTGTTGGGAGAAGGTTTTTGAGTATTTTACCACTGAATGTGCTTCTTTTTCATTTCTGAAAGAGTTTCAGTTTTGCTCTTGTGTAGTATCTGAGGGTAATGCCCAACAAAATAGTTCCCATTCATGAGGTTTTAGACAAAAGAATCTATGGTGTAGAGCTGCCTTTTATGCTTGGCTTTCTGATGGCAGATATTGCAGATTTCTGTTTCCCTTTTGCTGTTGGAAGTGCCTGGGTATGTGTGCCCAGCTGTTGCTGAACTATTACATTTGAAAAGAAAGTTTAAGGCATGCTGTCACATGCTCATTTCCTGTCAGTACTGATCAGGTCCATGCTGATTTACTTCATTTTCACACTCAAGAGTTTTGGCAAGTATACCCATGTAAGGATCTCTTCCTGGGAAAGTACTAAACTACATCTGCATCTGCTAGGAGTGGCACACGGTCACACTACTGTGTGAATTATTCTTAATCTGGACCTAACTCAAGTACGAACATCAAGTCATGGCATAGTATCTACCATGCTCCCCTGGTCCAGTTTCTGTTCCATTAACTTGAGGTGATACTTTTTTTTTTTTTTTTTTTTAAATTCTTCGCTATGTACAGATCTGTCTGTATCTATCAGGATGTTCTTGGAACATTTCTCAGAAGAAACGATCATACCTGCAAACTGACCTCATGTAGGTAACACTAAGCATGTGTGAATATCCAGGACATTGAGGTGGTATTAGTGTCTGTTGGACTCTGATAGCCAAGTGTAAGAGCTCCTTGTCCATCAGTGCACCAGTTGTTTCCTGGGGCAGTACCAAGAGAGAATAAAGAACTTGAAGATGCGCTATAACAATGTCTGGGATGATAGTAGAACTCCCAGACGTGGAAGAAAATCCTGCCTCACTTTTGGCACTTTGGAATCAGCACCAAGAAGGGTACCCATAAATTTTCTGTTGGGAGAAGAGAAGGATACTCCATTCAGACTCAGAATCTGAATACAGACCAGGACATGTCTGAGACTGTGCTGGGCATCCAGATCTCTTTGTAGAGACAGAAACTCCAGAGACAGCAGCCAAGTGGGTTTGGGAGGAGAGAAGCTCAGGAAATAAGGGAGTCTACACAAGGTATGTTACTGACATTGGTTTGTTTTGTTTTTCTTAACTTTGGGCTTTGTCTGCATGCTTGGTGGCTGGGTTCATACATGTGCCACTATTTTGTTCATAAAGTGGGTAGATGCAGGTTTTTTATGGAGAAAGAAGGCACCCATCCATATGATTTGTTCTTATAGTAGAAGTGGCAACTCCACACCTCTCGTTTTCCAGTGGATGCTGTCAGGCCCCAAGCAGTAAGAGGGCTGTGGGGAAGTTATGGTTGGTTCAATGTGTTGCTTCTGAATTATAGGACATTAGGCCTGTACAGCTCCAAATAGCATTTCAAGCTGACTTTTTAAGCACAACTGTAATGATTATTAGAACCAACCTACAACCTGAAGCAACAAGAGAGTAAAATTTCAGAGCAGAATGGTGTACAGTGAAATTTAGCCCTGGTCTACCCAAATTCACAGGACTAGCTTATCAAGATTTCTTTGTCTGTTTGTTTGTTAAGGACACAGGTGTCCGAGTGCCTAGGTTGGCACTGAAAGTAAAATCCTAATCTCCCTTGATGCTGGTGCAGATTTGCTTTCCTGTCTTCAACTCAGGCACACAGCTTATCTTGCTTTGAGAGAAGAACAAGAGCAAACTCACCAGTCTTACTCCCTCCACACTCATTCTGTTAGGACTTCTTTCCTTGATTACAGCCAGATGCAGGTTATCTTGAAGCATTTTGCTGTCTATAGAAATGAATCCAGAGTCTGTTTGTGGTGCTTATCCTTTGACTCATTTGAGCAATTGTTCACTCACATGTTCTAAGCCTGATATATTTGCCTGCCCGCCTTTCCCTTCCTTGCCCCCCAAAGAAACAAAGATGACAGATGAGATCATGATTATGTCCTTATCACTTAGAATTTGAGCACAGGGTGTCTTCCTGAAAGGCTCTGAAAATCCACTGTGAACTGAGAGGTATTTTTTCTGCTGAATTCCTTGGTATAGAGAATTTGCTGCAGTTTCTCAGTGTCTCTGTTAACCATTTTTCTATGTTTTATTTCAGATGCTACAAATTTACCAAGGCCACAGTTGGAGAATTCTGGCTCCCTAGCTGAAGCATTTGATCAGATATCTGACGACATAAGTGATGCTTCTTGACAAATTTTCCTGTCAACAAATGGAAAACAAGGAAAACATGTTGCTTTTTGACTTCTAGAAAGACATGGGAAGGGACAGTGGAATTTACAAAATGCATTCAGGAAAATGGAAGTTTGAAGATGATAAACTAAACTGATTTTCTGATTGTCAAGACAAGTCTAGGGAAGAGGACAGAGAAACTATGGCAGGGAGACT